CAGGTCTGGGGTGAGGGACCACCTGGTTTCCGTGGTCCTGACACTGACTGTGAGACCTGAGGGCCTGATCCCACTGGGCCTCATCAGAGAAGTAGGACGGTAACACTCTGTGAGATTAAGCACGCGAGTGTCTGCAAAGCGCTAGGGACAGTGCCCAGTGAATGCTCCAGGGTCACAGCGGGGCTGATAAAAAGCGACTCAGACGGCGAGGCTGCTGCCCGTGGGGCCGGCCTCTGATGGGGCTCTGGATGTTCCACCAGTGTCCGCCCCAAGACTCCCTAGAAGTAAAAGGAGACAGGTCCTCGTTAGAGTCTTAGGGTGGAGGGGATGGCCAAGCACCACTCCTCACTTGTTGTGAGTCAGACTCCACATGAATTAGGTCCTTTCAACCACAGCCTCGAATAACATGTCAGATCAGGCAGGGTTACGAACACTGACAGGAAACCGACCGAGTCGCCAAGTTGAAACGCATCTGAAGATCACTGGTTAGCATTCTTTTCAAGCACACATGGAACTTTTACAGAAAATAAAAACAAAAAACACATTTCAGGTCACAGAGCAAATCTCAAAAGCACTCAGAAAATCAGAATCACACACGCTATGTCTCTAAACAAGAAGCAAGTAAATGAGAAATAGCCATATACCAAGTTCCCACCCCCAACACTCATGGGAGTGTCAGATGTCGGGGTAATAACTCAAGGAAGAGAGGACTCAAAAGAGATTCTTAAAAATATGCGGACAAGTGTACATGGATTGTTTTGTCTGCTGGTAAATCTGCAGAACCTAGAACCTGGCACACGTCTGTTGAATTAAGGATGGAAGAATAAGTGAAAAACTAAATGATAACTATACCAGGCTTTTGTTAGAAAAGAAAAAAGAAAATTAATGAGTTTAGCATCTAATAAAGACCAGCAGCACAGGCCCAAAGAAAGAAGGAGAACGGAAATCATGAACAATGAAAGGGCAGGCATAAACAAAATAGAAGACAAACAACAGGAAGGGTAAATAAAATCAAAATCTGTTCTTTGAAAAGATGGATAAAATGGATGAACAGCTGAGGGACTGATCAAAGGAAGAGGCCAGCCAAAGCATTTGGAATCACCAGCAATGTAGCTGCATAAGCAACAAAGATTAGTAACCCCAAAGGCCAATGCAAGAAAGGACTTCATACCAATAAATTCAAAGATACAAGATGAACACTTTCTGAGGAAAAGCTCATCTAACCACATGGCATCAAGAAGAAAATGAAAATTTACCTACAAAAGCTCAGTTGTTGGCTCAGGATTTTTAGAGTAAGTTTTGTCAGACTTCAGAGAAACCAAGAATCCTGACCTCTTATAATTTATTGCAGTGAATAAAAAGAAGGAACACTCAAAACTTATGCCATGCAATTTTTTACAACCCTGGCACCAAAACCAGACACAAGGCATAAGAAAGGAAAACTCTAAGCTAACCTCACTTAATAAACATAGATGCAAAAATCCTAAATAAAATATAAACAATCCAAATACAGCAATATACTTAAATAAGTACATGATGTCCAAGTTGGTTTTTACTGGGAACACGATGTATAGCTTAACAGAAGAGTTCTCTTAATGAAGTCTGGTGTATTCAAAAGTCAAAGGACACAATTCAGGTGATTATTTTAATTGCTACAGAAAAAGCAACTGATTACCCTTTGATATATCTACCTTTCATGTATATAGAAATATATATCAACACACACATATATATACCCACATACATTAAGCACACCCTATGTATATATTTTTCCCTTGTGACCCATGTTTTATAGACTCTTCAAGGAAATTGTTCCATCCTGAGTCTGCCAAGATTTAAATATATAGGAACGACAAGCAAAGAGACCTTAGACTATATCAAGAATTGCTGAAAGACACATAGATCTCAAGGTGGTTATGATTTGAAAACTTGCCTACTTAAAGAAATTGGAATTGGAATACCAATTGCCTATCACTTCTAGGAAAATCATACCTTTGGTTAAGAAATATAATTTCGCTTTCAGATTGTTCACCTTTATGGCTCCGAGACACTGTAATCAAAGAATTTCACTGAAAAAAAAAAGACAATATTTTCTTAAGAGGTGGTGTTTATGACAGGCATTTAGTAGGCCAGTGGGCATATTTTCTTGTGGATGGAGACTCCATCATGCTATTTTCTTTTAGGGGGCAGACCCTGGATAGGATATGTAGGTAGTTATTTTATAAGCAATTGTAGTTTTATCAGAGGGCAAATCAAATGTTGGTAAATGTCTTCTGCTCGTGGCAAGAGAAAAGGGAGGGGGGAAAAAAAAACAAGAGGAAGGCAGAGAGAAAAGAGAGGAAGAACATAAACCCAACCCATCTTAGACAAACAGCAAATACAAGATACAAGGGGGCCAGAATTTAACCCGGCCAAGAACCACAGCCTGGCTTTCCCTCCCCGGGACAAGAGGCTGTCCACAGCAAGGGAGGCCAGGCAGACTCTCAGCCAGAGGCAGTCATCTGCAAGAAGTTCTTCCCCTGGGCAGGCAGAACCCAAGGTCACCACTGGGTACCCCAGTTCAGGTGCTTTACGTCCGCTTTACCCGTGCCTGCCACTACACAGACATCGATGGATTCTTAGATGGATTCTGACTCTATTGCTTTTGGCCACTTTGTGGCTTCCTAAATAGATTTTAAAGAAGTTCTCCAAAACCTATCATAACTGTTGATTTTCCCCATTAAGTCCTGATGTTTTAGCATCTCTGGTCCAGCCCAGAACAGAGGTCTGTGTTTAATTTAAGGCAATCTACTGCCCAGGCCTAACTGCCTTGGACTATTCTGAGCCCTTCTTCCTACTGGTTTGAGATCACAACCCCCTGGGGCTCCTTCCAAAAGTAAAAGTTGCCGGGTCAATGAGGTTCACGAAAACCTCGGGCTTGAGAGGAAGGAACTTGACCTTGCTCCAGGGTTCAACCTGGTCTTAGATTGACACTGTGCCCCATGCTTTAAAAGCGTGGTTCAAGACACCGTGGAAAGAGAGGTGGCCTGTGAGTCAAGGACACTGTGTTCTATTCTCAGAAACTGCCTGGTCAGTAATATGACCCTGAAAATATTCTTGAACCTAACTTCCCAGTTCATAAAGCAATTTCATATGCATTACCTCATTTGTTCCTCACAAAAGCCCTCCCCACAGGACAAATATCATCTCTATTTAAAACCTTTCAAATGCTGCCGTGACTGTTCATCTCACTCAGCATAAAATCCGAAGACCTCATGTGCCTAAGAGGACCCACACGACCCTGGCCACCACCTCGCGGACCCTGCCCTCCTGACCTCCCTTTTGCACCAACTGTTCCTGTCACCATTGGCCTCCTGAGCGTTGCTCAGACATAGGGAGAAGATTCCTGCCCCAGGCCCTTTGCACTTAATGTTTTCTGGTATCTGCTCAAACATTACCTTGGCAGAGAGACCTTCCCCGTCCACCTGCTAAAAAATAGAGCCTTTCCCTCTACCCTGTGCCTGCTGCTCTCCATCCTCCCGCCCGACTTCATCTTTCTTCATGACCTGACGGCCAAATCCCCAACAAGTCCCACAAAGCTCTGTGGGATCTGGTTCCTTTTACCTTCAGCCTCATCTGGAGCCACTCACCCCAACACTACACTCTAGGATGGACACAGTCTTGCTTTTCTTTTTACCTACCAAGCGCCTTCCCCACTCAGTTACCCTGTGGTTCAGAGACTGAGATGAGCTCCAGGATCAGACTGCTTGGGGGTCAAGAATCTCTACCAACTAACAACTAACCTTAGATAAATGACTTAATCTCTATCTCAACCTCCTGATTTGTCATAGGGAGATTATAAAAGCATAACAGAGTCCCATGTTATAAAGATTAAAACTGCTTCTTGGCCCTCCCTGGTGGTGCAGCAGGTTAAAGCACAGCACTGCAAGCGAGCCTCAGCTGCTTCAGTGCCAGTTCGATCCCCAGCCTCAGAGGTGACCCACAAGGTGCAGCAGACCTCTCCTGTCTCACCCGCTGCTCCCCTTAGTAGGGTACTTCGTCGATCTGCCTGTTCTTTATTTACTTATGCATACAGAACTGGGGTACAGGCCAGAGTTGCAGGGGCAGTGAGAGGACTCACCAGAGACAGAGTGGGCAACAGTACAGGCAGATCAACGAAGTACCCTGCTAACGGAAGCAGCCGGTGGGTCAGGAGAGGTCTGCTGCACCATGCGGGCTGAGGATAAACTGGCAATGCAGCTGCTGAGCTATCTTGCAGTGCTGCGTCCTAACCCTTTACACCACAGGGAGGGCCGAAGAAATAAATCTTTAAAAAAAAATAAAAGTGCTTCTCATGGGTCCGTGTTAGATCAGCCTCACACACCAGGAGCTATCTTCAGCTCCTGCCCTCCCTCTCTGCCTCGCCAAACCCTGTTCATTCTTTCAGTCTCTATTGAATGTCAGATCATCAGCAAAGTTTCCCTCAGTTCTTAGCCAGGGACTCCGTCAGGCAGTCCTGCACCACCGCTGTCCGTAAATACAGTCATGACTAAAGAAGGCTTTCTTTGTTTGAAGCTTGTCTTCCCCTTAGACTGTAAGCTTCATGGAGACAGAAATCAGGCCTGCCTCATTAACCCTTTAGCCCCAGCCCCCAGCACAGAGGCTGGAGCAAGGAAAGGGGAGCTCAGTCAGCATTGAGAAAGTGGTTCGAGAAAATACCATTGGAGTTATTTGAAAATCAGCTCCAGACTGGCTTTTCCATAATCATGTACCAAGTATATGAGCAACTAAATGCATGACACCTCCCCAAAGGTTGCTGGCTGTCCCCCAGTATTCCTTCTCTTTTCTCATTGTATTGGAGCTCCTGGTCTTATTTGGGTCTGTGGTGTCCAGAGTAAAAGCTGTACTTCTCTTTCCATCGGAAGAGGCCAATTACCTAAGTTCTGGCTCATGGAATAGTAGCAGCATTTCCATGAGCAATTCTGGGGCATGCCTTTAAGAAAAAGAAGGGTGCCCTTAACATCCCCCCATTCTTCAGTGCCTTGTTCATCAAAATATTTTAGTATTAAAATAAAGAAAGCTTTAATTAACTGATGAAGTAATTTTTAATGACTTCATTTCCTTCCAAGTTCTTAAGTCTTCCCACCACAACACCCAGGAAGGGATCAAACACTGGACCAGACTCAGGTTCCATTCAATGCAGAGTTTGGCAGCCAAACCAGGGGCCTCCAGGAAGGTCATGAACAGGACTTGGCCCTCGGCCTCCCCAGCACCCTCACCCAGTGCTCTTACTACAGCTTCCTCGTTCTCATGCATGGCTCTACATTCCTAGAGACTTTGGTCAGTTCCTTCAAAAGTCTACTCATACTTTCTGCAACCAGCGCTTTCAAAGGAAATGAGGAAATCCATCACCATGACGGCCCTCCTTCCTTGTCGTGTCTGCACTGTCAGTGTGACCTGCTTGTGAGAAATTCTAGGGGTGCTGAAAGTACAGTACCAAAGTGGGGGTGGAGTTCCAGCCCTGCTGGCAGTCAGGACCTACACCCTGACTGAACTGCTTTGTGCTGACTGGCAATGCCGTGGGCCAGAGGGTCTGGGCCCCAGATGAAAGTGCAGAACAAGAGGTACTGGGGTAGGATGAGGGTCCAGGGGTCCCCACCAGTGGTGGGAGCTGAAAAAGTTACAAAATGAGAGTCAGCACAGAGCTAAAGTTAAGGCCTTGAACAACTGTTAGGCTCAGTGGACTGAGTTGGGTGGTTGAGCAGGCAGTTGTGAATTTTGTACCAAGAAGGAATGGCCAGGAGGCTGCCAGGGAGGTGGTAAATGAAGAAAGGTGTTAAAGTGAGGCTGAAAGGGAGACTGGTCTGGTTACAAGTTTTTGCTGAAGCTGAGAACCCTCCATCAAAGTCCAAGATTACACAGGCTTTGAGTTCAGAATGCCAGGCCAACTGGTAGAGGTGACTGTCGTGGGGAGTGAGGACAGGTCCTGGCCCCGGAGATACAAAGGGTACAGTGCCCTCTACAAGAGAAGGAAGCCTGGCGCTCAGGGCTCCTCACCGTCAGTGACAAAGGGCAGACATGACTGAGAACACTTAAGCCTTTCGTAAATCGTTTACCCAGCATTGAGAATCACTTGCATCCTCCTTCCAAAAGAATAGTTTGAGTTTATAGGTTCTTTCACATAAACAATCTTGTTAATGCGGGTTGGGATAGGAGGCCTCAAAGAAGGAAGCCGTGGCTTAGCAGGAATTGGATGTCTCTTGCCAAATTCTTTTTGCATCCAGCAACCAAAAATGTAAGCCCTGTGAACAACACAAGCTTTGTGCCTCCAAAGAACTAAGAAATTGTCAAGGATGGCTTTCCTTATCCAAATGGGCAGTATATAGTGCACAGTAGGACCACTAATCGCTCATTTGCAGACTGACTGGTTGATGGGATTCTAACCACAAGCAGGTGGACAAAATCAAGTAGTCAGGGAGTTGTGTTCTTACCAATTCCATTTAAAGAAAGAAAAAAAAAAAAAACTGAGATCCAGAGAATAAAAGTTGGAGATCGCATAAAAGTAGGGTACTTTAATGTACTGGCCAATTCCCCAAGACTTGCTCTTCACTTGAAAGCCAAGCTCTCATGTGAAATATGGGGAATTCAGGCAATGTCTAGACACGCTCAAAAATGTTAAACTGCTTCCTGCCAGCCAATTTAGAACAATATGCACATAACCACCCCATGCTAATGAACTAGTCTGCATAATTTGTAGTATTCCAAGGTCTACCTTGGATATTCCTTAAAATCACTTAGCCTAAAAATGCACTTTGGACCCAAATAAAACTACACAGATTCCTCGAGCTGGATAGAGTTCCAGAGGTGATATCCAAGTTCCTGCCACCAAGCATGTGTATTTAAGTCCAAGCTATAGATACTAACAGGCCTTAGTTGTTTCTAAAAATGAATAAAAAGGTCGCACTGAGATGGAGCCAGGCCTATCCCAGAGGAACAAAGTCAAACAGAAGACCTCCCCTCAAAGAGATATAATCTTGAGAAATAGAACATCAATTAATTCTTTAAAATGTCTTGGGAAAGTTCCTAGAAAGGCCAACGGGGGTGGGGAAGCACTGGACTGAACTGTGACTCCCAAAACCACACCCAAGTCCAGCCCCTAGAACCTGGGAATGTGGCTTTATTGGAGAAAGGGGTCTTTGTAGATGGAGCTAAATTAAGGATCTTAAGCCAAGATGATCCTGGATTTAGTGTGGGAGCCTAATTCCAATGCTCAACACCCTTAAAGTTCTTATAACCGAAGGGAAGGGAGAAGACAGAGCCCCAGGGGACGACAGAGTCTGAGGTGGAAGCTGTTCTCACAGGCCAAGAAATGCCTAGTCATCAGAAGCTGGGAGAGACCAGGAAAGATGCTTCCCCCAAGACTCCCCAAGGAGTGGGCACCTGCCCAAACCTTCTGCCCCTCCAGAAGCGGGACAGAATAGATTTCTGTTGTTTGAAGCCACCCACTGTGCGACAATTTGTTACAACGGCAACTAGGATCTAACACTAGAGCCAGCTGCTAAGCCTGCCTGCGGTGTGAGTCGCAACCTCCCGGGAGATGACAATCACCCCAATTTTCTAAAACAAGAAGGAGTGTGCTGAGTTACAAGGGGAAAACATATTCTAAGCAAAAGACTTGCCTGAGGTGTGACTCATCAAGCTCTTCTCAAAGAACTGCAAGTAGTCTGGAAATGTCTGGCAGCGAGGGTCCATGTAGGACCGTCGTGATTTAAAGCTGGGGAGAAGCTCATAGAGGACCCAGCGGGTAAAGCCAAGAAGCGTGAAGAGCCCCAAACACACTGGAGAGCGCGAGAGCATGTGACAGGCAAGGGAGGATCATCGTCAGCTGTGCGTTTTGGATGGTCCCTCTGACAGCTGGAAGGGGGCCTACGGAGGGTGGGAGGCCAGGTGGGGGATGGCAGGAATAGGCAAGATGGCAACACGTAAGGGGGGAAGGGAGAGAAAGAGCTAAACCCAAGAGATACTGAGTAGGGAGACCCCGACAGACAGGGGGTTCATTAGATGTGGGGGTGAGGGGAAGGGAGTAACTAGAAATGACCCCAGAGTTTCTCACTTATCCAACTGCGTCTCTCAGAATTGGTGTTCAACAAGCCTATTGTATTTGTCCTTGTTTTCCCTGTACATTTGTTTTTTAATCCAAGGAACTAGATAAACTTTAGTGGTTTAAGATCTCTTTGTGTCTCGCTGACTTTTAACATTTCCTTCCAGAAAGCACTCATGGTTCCCATTTGGAGAAAGTTTGGCCAGTGGTTAGAGGAAAGCTAAGTCCCCTCAACATAAGGTGCCAATAATTGAATGGCTGTGGTGACATGTGAACTAAATGGTCAAGGAGGGAGGGGGCAACCAGAGTGAGAGGGGAGGTGTACCCTGGAAGGAAGATGGGAGATGACGGAAGGGTGGGCTCTGGGGGTCAGGAACTCCTGGCTTATCTAGCAAGGGCTGTTACCAAGTCCCTGTGCTGTGACTCACACTGGCAGCTCAGCCACCTTCCACACGAAGTTGCCAGGGCCTGCCCTGGCTCAGACTTAATTCTCTTTCCCCATCTACCCTCCACAATGCAGACCAAAAGCACTGGGTGAGGGGTCGGGGAGACAGCCTTCCAGCTCCACCCTCCCCCTTGGGGCTCCACTGGCCCAAAGACACTAATCTCATTTTCTTGGGGACCCACCTCAGGCCCTCCTTCTGACTGCCAGCTCCCCCTTCTGTAAGACAAAGAAGACAGAGGGAGAGATTGTAGAACTGGAAGAAACAGGATGAGGATCTGGCCCACAGCCCGCTAACTGTGGAGCATCCTCTCTGCTTCTCTCTCCACCAAAACTCTGGCCCATTCTTCTCACTTTCCCACGTGTGGATTAACTGCCGCTCTACCAGATCACTCTGGAGTGAACTCTGTCCGGCAACGGCCCAAAGGACCAGTGACCGTGTTAGCAGATTCATACCAGTCCCTTCCGTGCATAAGTCAGGAGCCTAAGGGAAGGTCAAACAGGAACCTCAGATGCGACTCACTCTGCTTCCTGCCATCCAAACCCAGTAAACAAGGACAGAGAAAGCAGACAGTCTGGTTCTGGGGCCTGGGGCCTGAGCCAAAGGCCTGGCTGGCATCGTACCAGGCACAAGAAATACCAGCCAGCCCCCAGGCCTGACCAAGCCACTGCTAGCCCTGTCTCCTGTCTATACCTCCTGACAGCTAGACATCATTTTGACCTATTTGTGGAATTTATGGGATAAAGGCTGAAATGTCAAGAATGGGTTATACTATAGTGCTTATGACTGTCCACGAGTACTGTAGCTGTTGTTATTTTTTCTGCTCCTCCTCTTGCCTTTCCTTCTCCCTCCTCCCCCTCTCTCTTTTTTGTGAAGTCTACTTGTTTGAACTCTGATTAAGAATCCATATTTTTCAAATTTCAAAGGTACCCAGTTTAGGATCACAACAGGAAATAGGAGCCTCCCCTCGACCAGCGATGATTGGAAAGGCCAAGATCAGGCACAGAGCAAAGGCACTCCAAGTTCAAAGAGCCCACTTAGATCAGTTTGGGGTTAATGCTACACTGTCATGATTCATTAAGGGGGTATGAAGGCACACCCTAGGTACTACAGGGAGATAAAATGGCCAGTGGTGGAGAGTTCAGTCCAATGAAAAATGGCCCAAACTAAAGAACATCATATTAAAGTATTTATCAAATGCTCTTCTGTGGATTAATAATATTTTCCATAGGTCAACACTGTGTGTGTGTGTACATGTTGTAAAGCTGGAAAAAAAACAATCAGCATCTCAACAACAACAAAAAAAAACCTTCCCCTTCTCGGAAGTCAGGGTGACCCTACTTGCCCTCTAAATTGTTTCCAGAAGTTTAAGTTGTCAAGGGGAGTTTCATGCTTTTTTGGTTGATCATTCACCAACCAGGACCTGCTTCCTCTTGGAGCTTAAACCATAGCTCACAACTTGGCCCCTGAGCCCCCTGCCAAAACCAGGGCTTAGTT